ATCAATATTTAAGTATGCAAATACTTAAGCTATTCTTTAGCCCCATGTTCCCCTGTGTAGTCACAGGCCTATCTTTCTCTTCCTTTTTACAGCCTGATTTCTTGAAAGAACTGAGCATGCTAGATGTCACTTTGACCTTACCTATACTGGCTTTACAACCCTCATTCTGGCTGCCAACTTCAGTGCTCCTCGGTAGTTCTGCTCATCTCACCAATGGTCTTTCCTCAGCAATGCTCAGTAGAGTTGAACAGTCTTTTCTTAAAATATTATTTTCCAGGGAACCCTCCTATAGTGCTAGTGGGAATGTAAATTGGTACAGACACTATGGAGAACAGTATGGAGGTTCATTGTTTTGCTTAGTTGCTAAGTTGTTTTGTAACCCCATGGACTGTAGCCCGCCAAGCTCCTCTGTCCATTGGATTTCCCGGACAAGAATACTGGAGTGGGTTGCCATTTCCTTTTCCAATGGAAGCTCATTATAAAACTAAAAGTAGAGTTTCCATAGCCTTCCCTGGTGGCTCAGATGTTAAAGAATCTGCCGGCAATGTGGCAGACCTGGGTTTAATCCTAGGGTTGGGAAGATCCCCTGGAGGGCATGGCAACCCACTCCAGTATTCTTGCCTGGAGAATCCCCATGGACAGAGGAGCCTGGTGAGCTATAGTCCATGGGGTCGCAAAGAGTTGGACATGACTGAGCAACTAAGCACAGCACAGCACAGTTACCATATGATCCAACAACCCCATTCCTGGACCTATATCTGGAGAAAACACTAATCTAAAAAGATACATGCACCCCAATGTTCATTCAGTTCAGTTCAGTCGCTCAGTCGTGTCTAACTCTTTGCCATCCCATGAACTGCAAAACACCAGGCCTCCCTGTCCATCACCAACTACCGGAGTCCACCCAAACCCATGTCCATTGAGTCGGTGATGCCATCCAACCATCTTATCCTCTGTCATCCCCTTCTCCTCCTGCCCTCAATCTTTCCCAGCATCAGGGTCTTTTCAAATGAGTCAAGTTTCGCATGAGGTGGCCAAAGTATTAGAGTTTCAGCTTCAGCATCAGTCCTTCCAATGAACACCCAGGACTGATCTCCTTTAGGATGGACTGGTTGGATGTCCTTCCAGTCCAAGGGACTCTCAAGAGTCTTCTCCAACACCACAGTTCAAAAGCATCAATTCTTCAGTGCTCAACTTTCTTTATAGTCCAACTCTCACATCCATACATGCTGCTGCTGCTGCTGCTGCTGCTAAGTCGCTTCAGTCGTATCCAACTCTGTGCGACCCCACAGATTGCAGCCCACCAGGCTCCCCCATCCCTGGGGTTCTCCAGGCAAGAAAACAGGAGTGGGTTGCGATTTCTTTCTCCAATGCATGAAGGTGAAAAGTGAAAGTGCAGTCGCTCAGTCATGTCTGACTCTTAGTGACCCAATGGACTGCAGCCTACCAGGCTCCTAGGTCCATGGGATTTTCCAGGCAAGAGTACTGGAGTGGGTTGCCACTGCCTTCTTCCCACATCCATACATGACCATTGGAAGAACCATAGCCTTGACTAGATGGACCTTTGTTGGCAAAGTAATGTCTCTGCTTTTTAATATGCTGTCTAGGTGGGTCATAACTTTCCTTCCAAGGAGTGAGCGTCTTTTAATTTCATGGCTGCAATCACCATCTGCAGTGATTTTGAAGCCCAGAAAAATAAAGTCAGCCACTGTTTCCCCATCTATTTGCCATGAAGTGATGGGACCGGATGCCATGATCTGAGTTTTCTGAATGTTCAGCTTTGAGCCAACTTTTTCACTCTCCTCTTTAACTTTCATCAGGAGGCTCTTTAGCTACGTGTTCTGGGAAAAAAACTCCCTCAGAAGAACAATACAGATAGTGGGTTGCAGTTTATTACACTGGCGGGACCAAGGCAGAGAGAGTCTCCTCTTAGCCAAGTACCCTGACCAGTTTTTCTGAAAACCCTGTATACCCTAAGTGTACATGCCCAAACCCACCTCCCCAAATTCCCTGAAAGTAGTCTGAACAAAGGAAAAGAAAGATACAGTCAAAATTAACCCATGATTCATATGCCTTAAGCCGAGGTAGTTAACAGTGGACAATTATCAATAGGCCTGTGGTCATACCCCAATAAGCATAAAAGAATGCATGATTCTATTCGGCTACACAGATAATGAGGGTATTCTTTTAGGCAACAGAGAGTCTAGGTATGAGCCCTGGGGCTCTTGCTTCCAGGGGCCTGGTGTTCCAGTTGGTGTGTCGTTTCCATAGATACTGGGCATAGAGCTCCAAGTCCACAGTCCGGCCCAAGATGGAGTCCTGCTTTCCAGATGGAGCCTGTTCTGTCTGGTTCCTCCTTCATTCCCCCTTCTTGATGCTCTTAGATCATAATGTGAGCATCATTCATAGGGATATATTGCACCCTGACTCTCCGACTTCCAATTTGGGAGAAGGACATCAACCTTTGGGTTACAAAGTTCATGATACATTGTCAAATAAAGGGTCCACAAAGCAGAACTGTCAAGGCAACTATAACAATGGCAAATACAGTTTTCCACCAATCACCCTTCACCCAGGATAGGACTGACATTCAGAAAGGAAGATTATCATCAGACATAACTTTTATCTGACCTTTCATGTCATCTAGGGTGGCTGATATATAGCTAGATAAATCAGGAATATATCCACCACATTCAACTTTAATTATAGCACAAGTCCCTCTTTGTACTGAAACTATGGTTAGTCTCAAGATGATACCAGCAAGTCCTTGTACCAGCAGTTGATTGTAGAGCTTTATCTCTTTTTCTTCTTTAAGATGATCTTGGTTTCACAGGGACCAGTGAGGTCCTTCTGTGTAGTCCACTCGGCATCCTCCGAGTCTGAGTGGTATGCCCTCTTCACCCTCATGAGGTGGATCCAGGGGGTGACACCTGCAACTTTAACTGCAGTAGGGCTGGTTAGAACAACAGTATACGGACCCTTCCACTGTGGGGAAAGGAGTCGTGTGTCCAGTCCTTGACCACACCTGATCCCCGCGCACAAATTCATGAACCTGTTCCCCAAGGGGGAATGGCACCTTTCTTGTACAACCTTAGTTACCTGATGGATTGCCTTACCCAGTTGTTCCATCAGCTGTGAAATCTCATCTCCCCTTACCTGAGGCAAGTTTGTTGACACCTGTTTTATTATGGGAGGGGGCCTCCCATACACAGTTATGTATGGAGAAGAGCCATGGGGCTGTGGCGTCATCCTGCGTCTAAGCAGAGCCCAGACTCAGAAACAAGCCCACCCAGGGACAGTCAGTGTCTAAGGTCCACTTGGAGAGTGTCTCTTTAAGCGCCCGGTTGATTCCTTCTGCCATCCCAGAACTCTGGGGCCTATATGCTGTATGGAATTCCCACTTGATGTTTAAAGCTTTGCTTAGTTGTTATGCTAAATCAGCTATGAAAGGGTATAGCTCGGCCTGTTGAGCGGACCAGTGTGATGAGAGCAGGCCTCAATGATGGCTTCTTCCATGACTACTGCATATCCTAACAGTCATTGTTTTTGTTTCACCAGGCTGGTGCCACTGGTGTACAGGACCAAATCTGGGTCCGGGATTGGCTGGTCTCTCAAGTCAGGTCTGCTGCTGGCATATTTCCTTACAATCATGTAAGGGCCCCCCTTTTCCCACAATAAAGAGAGTGGCCAGATTCAGGGCCTGACAAGGCTCAGTCCAAAGTGAGCTTGGTTGCCTCCCGGACCAGTAAGGCAACTGCAGCAACTGCCCGTAAGCATCACAGCCACCCAGTGGCCACATTGTCCACCTGATTAGAGATAAGTCCTTGGTCTGTCCCATGTCCCCATAGTCTGGACAACACTCCCATAGCCTCCTTGTCCTTTTCAGTCACATAAAGAGTAAACAGCTTAGCAGAGTCTGGTAGGCCCAAGGTGGGTGCTGACATCATTGTGCCGGGTTTGAGTTCTATTACCAGTGAGAATTGTTTTACAAGCCTCAGGTGGAGGGGGGGTGGGGGGCGGTGTCTTCCGCCCAGACCTCAGGGAATTGGTGAGTTAACTCTGTCTTGACTGTTTAACCCCTCCGGTTTCCTTTCCTGGAGATTGTGCAACCTCCATTCATCTTGAAGGGTTACTGGGAGGAAGAGTAAATAGGTGATTGAGCCCACTTGAACAGTGGGCCTGTCGTGGGGAGAAGGGTCACTTGTGCCCGCAATTTAGATAGCAAGTCTCTTCCTAACAAAGGTACTGGACATTCAGGGATGTATAAACATTCCTGAGTCACTTGGCGTCCCCCCATGTGACATTTTCAGGGTAGGCAAGAGACACATAGGCTGCATTTATCACCATCTGAGGCCCAGCAGCCTCTGGCTGGGTCTATTGGCGTATAAAGTCTACAGGCCTCACACAGTCTTTTGCAGATCTCAGAGGGTGATTCGCGTTCCCTTTGAATCACTTCAGAGGGCTTTGCGATACTCATAGGTTTTCGGGCCCCGCCTTGAGACCTTGTAAAACAGTCACCCGCTATCGCTCTGGGTGGCCCCTCCTTCCTCTGTGTTACAGCCCCAGTTGGGCCTCTCATCGGGGGTGGCTGGTTCTGCCACCGCTGCGGGTTTGCAGTGCCCCCAGGTGCCATTTCTCTGAACCATTTTCTGGCCTCAGTTAGGATCCTATGTCTTTCCTCAGCGCTGAAAAGGGAAACTAGTAGTTGGATTTTGTCATCCTATGTAGGGCGGTGGGTTTGAAAAATAGTCTCCATTAGCCTAATAATGGCTGTGGCATCCCCGAGTACAGTGGAGCGTGTCTCTGCCAGTTTAAGGTATCCATAGAGGAAATGGCTGGTAACAATAGGCTACAGAAGTTGATGGTGGTGCCCCATGCGTCCTGAACCGGACGCTGTTGAAGCTCTCTGAGGGGCATCTGTAGTGGGGTTCTTTCCCCCTGTTCCTTGGCGGAGTGCAGCCTCTGTCTAATTGCTGTGTTTTCTTCCCCCTTCCCATCAGGACTCACTGGGAGAGGTGGATACCATCTAGGAGGTCCAGCTGAGTGGAATTCTGGGGGCGTTGACCAGAGGTCTCCTTCGCTGGGATTGGAGCCTGTCAAAACAGCGGCTCTACGAACTCGGGGAGAGCTGGTAGAGGAGCAGCGGCTGCTGCAGGAACTTCCCCTGGCCCTGGATGGGGCATTAAGGCGGCTCCAGGCCTGGGGGAGCACTGGGAGGCAGGCGCGTCATTATCCGGTAAGGGGGACGGGTCAGGTCATCCCCGTCCAAATCCTGTAGAACTTCCTTTTTTATCATCAGTCAATTTTTGTGCCATTAATATTTTTTCCTTTTCCTTCTGGATACAGAACCTTGTCCAAGTAGGAGGGTCTTGAGCTAACCCTAGCCATGAGTCAATATATGGATATTCATCCAGGTGTCCTGGCTCTCCTGTGACTCCTGTATAGACTGCTTCCACTATTTTTAAGTTCACGGTGTTTTCTGGTGGCCATCCTACCCCATTGGGGGCCATTCGACCTCACAGAGCATGTGGAGGCAGTTAGGCTTCATCTTCACCCCATAGTCTTCTCAAAATCCCTTCTTTACATTTTTAATCATGCACTCCAACACAGTTGCCTTAGATTCACTTCCCCCCATCTTGCTAACCTTCTCAGACGTTCTCTTTTCCTTATCGTTCTGTCTACGATGTTCTCAGTACCCTATGTACCTCTGATATTTCCACTCAATGACACTTAAATTGCCATTCTGCCTCCTTCTTAATTGGGGTGAAAAGAGCCTTACCTGACAGGTCCCAGAGGGAGAAGAGGGATTGGCGTGTCTTCACCTGCCGGTCAGCACAGCCGAACAAAGCCGAACCTGATCCAAGACTGTTTCTCCCTTAACTTTTCAAGTCCATTCTGCCTTGTTGGGCTTGATCAGGTGCGGATGAAAATACAGATGGGTGAAATATCCCATGTTCCAGGCCGTCTCCAGAAAAGTCAATTCGTACTCACTTAACGTATCCCCCTCCTTCTGGCCTGACAATTCTGAGGGGGTCAAGAATTTCATAGCAGGTGGGACACTTCCTTGGGGAGGGCAGAATACAAGCACACAAAAACCAAGTTTTTCTCCTAAAAATCCCCTGGTCATTGCTTGGTAATAATTTTCCCCAAGAAGGTGTGGACACCACCTCCTAAATGACCTTCACAAATTTCCTTCCTACGCCCTAACAATCTCATCAACCTGTGTACCAAGCAATCGTTGCCACCGGCCTATTCCAGGCTCCTGTGGGTCTGTGCCCCTTCTAATCCTTCCCAGGGGGCTGATCAGGCCCCCTCTTCCACCCTACCAGGTGGGTTCCTCCTCACCTGAGAGCTCAGCTCCCCTGCTGCCATCCAATACCTGCTAACGTGAAAGATCCGGGCATTGAGAAGCAGAATCCTTTCAGAGGGCGAGGTGCCTTCCCCGCTCTAGAAGGTTCAAGCCACAAGGCCTCGGAGTAGTCCCAAATGGGACTTGTCTCCTCAAAGTGAGGAGTTTCCTAGCCAATGCACCAAATGTTGTAGCCACGCGTTCCAGGAAACAAACTCACTCAGAAGAACAATGCAGATAGTGGAGTGTGGTTTATTACACCAGGGGGTCCAAGGCAGAATCTTCTCTTAGTCAAGGACCCTGACCAGTTTTTCTGAAAACCTTATATACCCTAAGCGTAGGTGCCCAAACCCACCTCCACAAATTCCCTGAAACTAGTCTGAACAAAGGAAAAGAAAGATACAATCAAAGTTAACCCGTGATTCATATGCCTTCAGTTCAGTTCAGTCACTCAGTCATCTCTGATTCTTTGCAAACCCATGAATTGCAGCATGCCAGGCCTCCCTGTCCCTCACCAACTCCCGGAGTCTACTCAAACCCATGTCCACAGAGTCGGTGATGCCATCCAGCCATCGTATCCTCTGTCATCCCCTTCTCCTCCTGCCCCCAATCCCTCCCAGCATCAGGGTCTTTTCAAATGAGTCAAGTTTTGCATGAGGTGGCCAAAGTATTAGAGTTTCAGCTTCAGCATCAGTCCTTCCAATGAGCACCCAGGACTGATCTCCTTTAGGATGGACTGGTTTGATCTCCTTGCAGTCCAAGTGACTCTCAAGAGTCTTCTCCAACACCATAGTTCAAACGCGTTAATTTTTCAGTGCTCAGCTTTCTTCACAGTCCAACTCTCACATCCATACATGACTACTGGAAAAACCATAGCCTTGACTAGACGGACATTTGTTGGCAAAGTAATGTCTCTGATTTTTAATATGCTATCTAGGTTGGTCATAACTTTCCTTCCAAGGAGTAAGCGTCTTTTAATTTCATGGCTGCAATCACCACTTGCAGTGATTTCATATGCCTTAAGCCTAGGTAGTTAACAGTGGACAGTTATCAATAGGCCTGTGGTCATACCCCAATAAGCATGATAGAATGCATGATTCTATTCGGCTACACAGATAATGAGGGTATTCTTTTAGGCAACAGAGAGTCTAGGTATGAGCCCTGGGGCTCTTGCTTCCGGGGGCCTGGTTTTCCAGTTGGTGTGTCGTTTCCATAGATACTGGGCATAGAGCTCCAAGTCCACAGTCTGGCCCAAAATGGAGTCCTGCTTTCCAGATGGAGCCTGTTCTGTCTGGTTCCTCCTTCATTCCCCCTTCTTGATGCTCTTAGATCATAGTGTGAGCATCATTCATAGGGATATATTGCACCCTGACTCTCCGACCTCCAATTTGGGAGAAGGGCATCAACCTTTGGGATACAAAGTTCATAATACATTGTCAAATAAAGGGTCCACAAAGCAAAACTATCAAGGCAACTATAACAATGGCAAATATAGTTTTCCCCCAATCACCCTTCACCCAAGATAGGACTGACATTCAGAAAGGAAGATTGTCATCAGACATAACTTTTACATGACCTTTCATGTCATCTAGGGTGGCTGATATATAGCTAGATAAATCAGGAATATATCTGCCACATTCAACTTTAATTATAGCACAAGTCCCTCTTTGTACTGAAACTATGGTTAGTCTCAAGATGATACCAGCAAGTCCTTGTACCAGCAGTTGATTGTAGAGCTTTATCTCTTTTTCTTCTTTAAGATGATCTTGGTTTCACAGGGATCAGTGAGGTCCTTCTGTGTAGTCCACTCGGCATCCTCCGAGTCTGAGTGGTATGCCCTCTTCACCCTCATGAGGTGGATCCAGGGGGTGACACCTGCAACTTTAACTGCAGTAGGGCTGGTTAGAACAACAGTATATGGACCCTTCCACTGTGGGGAAAGGAGTCGTGTGTCCAGTCCTTGACCACACCTGATCCCCGCGCACAAATTCATGAACCTGTTCCCCAAGGGGGAATGGCACCTTTCTTGTACAACCTTAGTTACCTGATGGATTGCCTTACCCAGTTGTTCCATCAGCTGTGAAATCTCATCTCCCCTTACCTGAGGCAAGTTTGTTGACACCTGTTTTATTATGGGAGGGGGCCTCCCATACACAGTTATGTATGGAGAAGAGCCATGGGGCTGTGGCGTCATCCTGCGTCTAAGCAGAGCCCAGACTCAGAAACAAGCCCACCCAGGAACAGTCAGTGTCTAAGGTCCACTTGGAGAGTGTCTCTTTAAGCGCCCGGTTGATTCCTTCTGCCATCCCAGAACTCTGGGGCCTATATGCTGTATGGAATTCCCACTTGATGTTTAAAGTTTTGCTCACTTGTTATACTAAATCAGCTACAAAAGCCAGGCCTTTGTCCTATCCAATGCTGGTAGGAAATCCAATTCTGGGAACTATCTCCCTAAGCAGGCACCAGGCTACTTTTGATGCTCTTTCAGTCCGGTTAGGAAAAGCTTCTACCCATCCCAAGAATATACATACTATCACCAGCAGGTAACAGTAGTGTCGGTGAGGTTTCATTTCAGTGAAGTCCACTTCTAGGTGTTCAAAGGGCAGCGGGCCTTTTAGCTGAATCCCTGAGGTTTCTGTCTGTACCGAGAGGCTGCATTGATCCACGAGCAGGCAGTGCAGTTCTGAGCTTTTGTCCTGCATAGGGAAGAGAGGCGGGGAACCAAGAAATATTTTCAAATTAGCTCTTTTCAGTTTATCATGGCCTAGATGGGTCGCTTGGTGTGTTTGGCTTACCAGAGTGGGTGCCAGCTCCTCCGGTACCAATAATTTGCCACTTGGAACTTCCCACCTTCCCTTTTCAGTCTTGATGGCCCCTTCTGCTTTGGCTGGTTGGTTTTGGGCATCAGTGTATTTTGGAGAGTCTAGCGTTAACTCGGGCAGCTCCACCAATATGAGAGCTTCAATCAGGGCTTCACTTGTCACCCCCAAGCCCTTGGCTGCTTGTTTAGCAGTCTTATCTGCCAGTCTGTTCCCTGAGCCTGGGGGTATCCTCTTTTTGACATTCTCAAGAGTGTATGACTGTAACCCTTTCTGGTTCCCAGGCAGCATCTAATGGGGTCATTTCTTCCTTATTTTTAGTATCTTTTTCTTAGCCTTCAAAGGCCTCTCTCCTCTTACAGAGCCCTGTAGTGTGGCAAAATCATACCTGGAGTCTGGGTAAGTGTTTGTCTTCTTACCTTTTGACAGCTGGAGGGCCTGGATTAGAGCGTATAGTTCGGCCTGTTGAGCGGACCAGTGTGATGACAGAGAGCAGGCCTCAACGATGGCTTCTTCCATGACTACTGTGTATCCCGAAGTCCTTGTCTTTGTTTCACCAGGCTGGTGCCACTGGTGTACAGGACCAAATCTGGGTCCGGGATTGGCTGGTCTCTCAAGTCAGGTCTGCTGGCATATTTCCTTACAATCATGTGAGGGTCCCCCTTTCCCCACAAGAAAGAGAGTGGCCAGATTCAGGGCCTGACAAGGCTCAGTAGTAATGTGGGGGTTCTCACATAGCAGTCCCTGGTATTCAGTAATCCGGGATGGTGACAGCCACGTATGGGGGTCCCCTTGCAGGAGAGTGTTGACCTCATATGGGACTTTTACAAACAAATCTTGGCCCAAAGTGAGCTTGGTTGCCTCCCGGACCAGTAAGAGAACTGCAGCAACTGCCAGTAAGCATCCCAGCCACCCAGTGGCCACATAGTCCAGCTGATTGGAGCTAAGTCACTGGTCTGTCCCATGTCCCCATAGTCTGGGGCAACATCCCATAGCCACCTTGTTCTTTTCAGTCACGTCAAGAGTAAAAGGCCTAGCAAGGTCTGGCAGGCCCAAGGCGGTCCTGACGTAATTGTACCGGGTTTGAGTTCTATTACCTACAAGTTCTATTAGGACTTGTTTTGCAAGCCTGGGCGGGGGGGGGGGGGGGGGTTGGGGGGGGGGGTTGTCTTCCAGCCAGACCTCAGGGAATTGGTGAGTTAACTCTCTGTCTTGACTGTTTAGCCCGACCGGTTTCTTCCAGGGAGATTATGCAACCTCCATTCATCTTGAAGGGTTACTGGGAGGAAGAGTAAATAGGTGATTGAGCCCACTTGAACAGTGGGCCTGTCGTGGGGAGAAAGGTCACTTGTGCCCGCAATTTAGATAGAAAGTCTCTTCCTAACAAAGGTACTGGACATTCAGGGATGTATAAACATTCCTGAGTCACTTGGCGTCCCCCCATGTGACATTTTCAGGGTAGGCTAGAGACACACAGGCTGCATTTATCACCATCTGAGGCCCAGCAGCCTCTGGCTGGGTCTATTGGCGTATAAAGTCTACAGGCCTCACACAGTCTTTTGCAGATCTCAGAGGGTGATTCGCGTTCCCTTTGAATCACTTCAGAGGGCTTTGCGATACTTATAGGTTTTCGGGCCCCCCCTTGAGACCTTGTAAAACAGTCACCCGCTATTGCTCTGGGTGGCCTCTCCTTCCTCTGTGTTACAGCCCCAGTTGGGCCTCTCATCGGGGGTGGCTGGTTCTGCCACCGCTGCGGGTTTGCAGTGCCCCCAGGTGCCATTTCTCTGAACCATTTTCTGGCCTCAGTTAGGATCCTATGTCTTTCCTCAGCACTGAAAAGGGAAACTAGTAGTTGGATTTTGTCATCCTATGTAGGGCGGTGGGTTCGAACAATAGTCTCCATTAGCCTAATCCTGTCTTGTGGCTTCCTCGAGTAAGGTGGAGTGTGTCTCTGCCAGTTTAATATATCTGTAGAGGAAAATGGCTGGTAATAATAGGCTACAGGGGGCTGATGGTGGTGCCCTATGCGTCCTGGACTGGAGGATGCTGTAGCTCTCTGAGGGGCATCTGCAGTGGGATTCTTTCCCCCTGCTCCTTGGCGGAGTGCAGCCTCTGTCTAATTGCTGTGTTTTCTTCCCCCTTCCCATCAGGACTCACTGGGAGAGGTGGATACCATCTAGGAGGTCCAGCTGAGTGGAATTCTGGGGGCGTTGACCAGAGGTCTCCTTCGCTGGGATTGGAGCCTGTCAAAACAGCGGCTCTACGAACTCGGGGAGAGCTGGTGGAAGAGCAGCAGCTGCTGCAGGAACCTCCCCTGGCCCTGGATGGGGCGTTAAGGCGGCTCCAGGCCTGGGGGAGCACTGGGAGGCAGGCGCGTCATTATCCGGTAAGGGGGAGGGGTCAGGTCATCCCCGTCCAAATCCTGTAGAACTTCCTTTTTAACCATCAATCAATTTTGTGCCATTAATATTTCTCCCTTTCCCTTCTGGATACAGAACCTTGTCCAAGTAGGAGGGTCTTGAGCTAACCCTAGCCGTGAGTCAGTTTATAGATATTGATCCAGGTCTCCCGGCTCTCCTGTGACTCCTGTATAGACTTCTTCCACTATTTTTAAGTTCATGGTGTTCTCTCGTGGCCATCCTACCCCCATAGGGGGCCATTTGACCTCACAGAGCATGTGGAGGCAGTTAGGCTTCATCTTCACCCCATAGTCTCCTCAAAATCCCTTCTTTACATTTTTAATCATGCACTCCAATACAGGTGCCTTAGATTCACTTCCCCCCATCTTGCTTACCTTCTCGGACCTTCTTCTACATTTCCTTTTCATTCTATCTACAAAGTTCTCAGTACCCTATGTACTTCTGATATTTCTACTCAATGACACTTACAATGCCATTCTGCCTCCTTCCTAATTGGGGAGACAAGAGCCTTACCTGCCAGATCCCACAGAAAGAAGGGGGGTTGGTGTGTCTTCACCTGCCGGTCAGCATAGCCGAACCAGAACACCACGTGATCCAAGACTGTTGCTCTGGTTAACTTTTAAAGTCCATTCTGTCTTGGTGGCCTGATCAGGTGGGGATGAAAATACAGATGGAGTAAATGTCCTATGTCCCAGGCTGTCTCCGGAAAAGCCAATTCATACTCACTTATGTATCCCCTTCCTTGTAGTTTGCCATTCCAAGGGGGTCAAGAACTTCATAGCAGATGGGACACCTCCTTGGGGAGGGCAGATTATGAGCACACAAAAACCAAGTTTCTTCTCCTAAAACCCCCCTGGCAATTGCTTGGTAATAATTTTCCCCAAGATGGCGTGGGCACCACCTCCTAAATGACCTTCACAAATTCGCTTCCTAAGCCCTAACACGCTTGTCAACCTGTGTACCAAGCAATCATTGCCACCTGCCTATTCCAGGCTCCTGTGGGTCTGTGCCCCTTCTAATCCCTCCCAGGGGGGTGATCAGGCCCCCTCTTCCACCCTACCGGCTCGGTTCCTCCTCACCTGAGCGCTCAGTTCTTCTGCCGCGGTCCACTAGCTGCTAACATGAAAGGTCCGGGCATTGAGAAACAGAATCCTTCCAGAAGGGCGAGGTGACTTCCCCCCTCTAGAAGATTTGAGCCACAAGCCCTCGGAGTAGTCCCAAGTGGGACTTGTCTCCTCAAAGTGAGGAGTTTCCCAGCCAATGCACCAAATGTTGTAGCCACGTGTTCTGGGAAACAAACTCACTCAGAAGAACAATGCAGATAGTGGATTGCAGTTTATTACACCAGCGGGCCCAAGGCAGAGTCTCCTTTTATCCAAGGACCCTGACTAGTTTTTCTGAAAATCTTATATACCCTAAGTGTACGTGCCCAAACCCATCTCTCCAAATTCCCTGAAACTAGTCTGAACAAAGGAAAAAAAAGATGCAGTCAAAGTTAACCCGTGATACATATGCCTTCATTTCTTTTCAGTCACTCAGTCATCTCTGACTCTTTGCAAACCCATGAATCGCAGCATGCCAGGCCTCCCTGTCCATCACCAACTCCCGGAGTTTGATCAAACCCATGTCCACCGAGTCGGTGATGCCATCCATCCATCTCATCCCCTGTCGTCCCCTTCTCCTCCTGCCCCCAATCCCTCCCAGCATCAGGGTCTTTTCAAATGAGTCAGGTTTCGCATGAGGTGGCCAAAGTATTAGAGCTTCAGCTTCAGCACCAGTCCTTCCCATGAGCACCCAGGACTGATCTCTTTTAGGATGGACTGGCTGGATCTCCTTGCAGTCCAAGTGACTCTCAAGAGTCTTCTCCAACACCATAGTTCAAACGCGTCAATTTTTCAGCGCTTAGCTTTCTTCACAGTCCAACTCTCACATCCATACATGACTACTGGAAAAACCATAGCCTTGACTAGATGGACCTTTGTTGGCAAAGTAATGTCTCTGATTTTTAATATGCTATCTAGGTTGGTCATAACTTTCCTTCCAAGGAGTAAGCGTCTTTTAATTTCATGGCTGCAATCACCACTTGCAGTGATTTCATATGCCTTATGCCTAGGTAGTTAACAGTGGACAATTATCAATAGGCCTGTGGTCATACCCCAATAAGCATAAAAGAATGTATGATTCTATTCGGCTACACAGATAATGAGGGTATTCTTTTAGGCAACAGAGAGTCTAGGTATGAGCCCTGGGGCTCTTGCTTCTGGGGACCTGGTTTTCCAGTTGGTGTGTCGTTTCCATAGATACTGGGCATAGAGCTCCAAGTCCACAGTCTGGCCCAAAATGGAGCCCTGCTTTCCAGATGGAGCCTGTTCTGTCTCGTTCCTCCTTCATTCCCCCTTCTTGATGCTCTTAGATCATAGTGTGAGCATCATTCATAGGGATATATTGCACCCTGACTCTCCGACCTCCAATTTGGGAGAAGGACATCAACCTTTGGGATACAAAGTTCATGATACATTGTCAAATAAAGGGTCCACAAAGCAGAACTATCAAGGCAACTATAACAATGGCAAATACAGTTTTCCCCCAATCACCCTTCACCCAAGATAGGACTGAAGTTCAAAAAGGAAGATTATCACCAGACATAACTTTTACCTGACCTTTCATGTCATCTAGGGTGGCTGATGTATAGCCAGATAAATCAGGAATATATCTGCAACATTCAACTCTAATTATAGCAGAGGTCCTTCTTTGTACCGAAACTCTGGTTAGCATTAGTCTCAAGATGATACCAGCAAGTCCTTGTATCAGCAATTGATTGTGGAAGATCCTGTGAAGATCCACAGGCCACAACTAAAACCAGGTATAGTCAAATAAGTAAATCGGAAAAAAGTATAAAAAATGCAAGTAGCATGAGTCGATCCTTTTCCTTAAAAACTTTTAATAGTGTTTTAAATTGTCCTTGTGATGAACCAGATTTCTTAGTCTGGCCAATAAGAAGGTAAGCTTCATGGAGGCAGAGCCCATGTGTCTTGTCCACTGCTACATCTCCAGTGCCTACTTAGTATACTTCCGGTACTTAGTCCTCATATATTTGAGTGAATAAATAATAACTATAAAATCCCATGTCATCTGTGTTGTCCACTTTTATCAGTCGGCTTTTGCTGCATAACAAGTTATCTCAAAATTTAGCTGCTGTAAATGATCATTAATTTACTCATAATTTTGTAGGTCAGCTTGGCATTTCTCAAATGGGCTGTTTTGACAGATCACTGGGGTCCTTTGGCAGCTTTTTAGGGCTATACAGTCTTGGACAGCTTCCCTCATATGTCCGGCCATTGCAGGCTGGTTGGTCTTGGGTGCTCAGATGGGACAGCATGTTTCTTCTCCACGAGGTCTCCTCCTCCAATAGGCTAGCCCAGGTTTGGGCTAAGTGGTGGTCTCAGGTTTCAAAACAGCAACGTGAGAGAGCAAACTCTAGCACACCAGTACTTTTCAAGGTTTTGCTAACAGTGTCCAGTTTGGGACTGTCCTGTTGTCCAAAGCAAATCACATGGTCAGGCTGAGCGAGTACCCAGAGGCGTGAACAAACCGAGGGCCATTCTTACAGCCATCTGCTGTAGCACCGCTGAAGCTTTATCTTAACAAATATACTTCCTCCTGTTTCTATACCAGCCTGGTCAGTCAGGTCAGTTGCTCAGTCATGTTCAACTCTTTTTGACCCCATGGACAGCAGCACGCCAGGCCTTCCTGTCCATCACCAACTCCTGGAGTTCACTCAAACTCATGTCCATTGAGTCGGTGATGCCATCCAACCATCTCATCCTCTGTCGTCCCCTTCACATCAGGTAGCCAAAGTATTGGAGTTTCAGCATTAGTCCTTCCAATGAACATTTAGGACTGATCTTCTTTAAGTTGGACTGGTTGGATCTCCTTGCAATCGAAGGGACTCTCAAGAGTCTTCTCCACCAACACAGTTCAAAACCATCAATTCTTCTGCGCTCAGCTTTTTTTATAGTCCAACTCTCATACCCACACATGACTACTGGAAAAAACATAGCCTTGACTAGACGGACCTTTGTTGGCAAAGTAATATCTCTGCTTTTTAATATGCTATCTAGGTTGGTCATAACTTTCCTTCCAAGGAGTAAGTGTCTTTTAATTCCATGGCTGCAGTCACCGTCTGCAGTGATTTTGTAGCCCCCCAAAAGAAAGTCTGACACTGTTTCCACTGTTTCCCCATCTACTTCCCATGAAGTGATGGGACCAGATGCCATGATCTTAGTTTTCTGAATGTTGAGCTTTAAGTCAACTTTTTCACTCTCTTCTTTCACTTTCACCATGGGCTCTTTAGTTTTTCTTCGCTTTCTGCTGTAAGGGTGGTGTCATCTACATATCTGAGGTTATTGATAGTTTTCCCAGCAATCTCGATTCCAGCTTGTCCTTCATCCAGCCCAGAGTCTCTCATGATGTCCTCTGCATATAAGTTAAATAAGCAGGGTGACAATATACAGCCTTGATGTACTCCTTTTACTATTGGGAACCAGTCTGTTGCTCCATGTCCAGTTCTAACTGTTGTTTCCTGACCTGCATACAGGTTTCTCAAGAGGCAGGTCAAGTGGTCTGGTATTTCCATCTCTCAGAATTTTCCATGGTTTATTGTGATCCACACAATTAAAGGCTTTGGCATAGTCAATAAAGCAGAAATAGATGGTTTTCTGGAACTCTCGATTTTTCAATGATCCAGCGGGTGTTGGCAA